CTTTACGGGACAAAATTACTTAGACTGTCCTAAGACACCATAAACAATGGAATAATTATATTTAGCCACTTACTAGGGAGTTGAATTCTGTATTCTCTAATAGGAAATTCAAATAATTTCAAGAGTTAAATCCTGTCTAGCAAAAATATTGCTATTTTTCATTAGAAGTACTATTACACAGAATGGGTAAGGTTGGAAAGGACCACAGTGGGTCATCTGGTCCAACCTCCCTGCTCATGCACATGGCACAGGATTGTGTCCAGTCAGTTCGTGAATATCTCCAGTGAGGGAGACTCCACAGCATCTCTGGGCAGTCTGCTCCAGCACTTGATTACCCACAGAGTAAAAGAGTTCTTCCTCATATTCAGGTGGAACTTCTTGTGCCTCAGTTTCTGCCCATTGCCTCTTGTCCTACTCCACTTACAAAAATATAATAATGACTTACATTCCTTTCTTGTAAAGCTTGTATGTCAACATTTGCTTTCAGCACAACTTTTACTTACTGAAAGAAAAGCCTAATGAGATAGATTCACAAACCAAAGCAAACTATCAGCAACAACTTTCTGATTCTCTCATTTCTCTTTCTTTCTTTTCTTGATCTTCATTTGATCAGACACCCACAGAAGTGTCTGTAACTTTAGACTAAGGAATACAAAGAAAAATTAATCTTAAAACAATCAAGTTCTTGATTGTTTCAGTACAGCTTATTTTTATCCCAACTTGACTGACAGCCAGTAGGGTTTTGGAAAATAGTTTCAGCATCCTCAAATTTCAGTGGATTAAAGGCAGAACAATTCTTTACTACATTTTTTTCCCTTTTAAATTGAGTTTTAAAAAGCAGATTTCTTCAGTTCAGAAAGTGGCTGTTATGGTGATTAAAAGCTGCACTTTAGCTATTGCTTTCAAAAACTACCATATAAATTCCAATATTACGAACAATCCCACTGCCTGAAATTTTAGACAGTTAAGAACACTGATGTTTAGCAAAGAGCTGGAACATTAACTGTATACTGAAAATTTCCTACCACTCTACTTTTTGAGCATGAGCAGGTGGCCAGCACTTGATCAGAATAACAACAACCACCAGTCAGAACTTTAAAAAACCAGAACTCTAGCTCAGTTTCCACAGAATTTTCCACAAGTTTTGGTTGAGGTTTTTTTGTGGGGTTTGGGGCAGGAGGAGGTGTGTTGCAGTCTGTTTGTGTGGGTTTTTTATACTTGCTGAACTTAAAATTGACAACTAAACTCTCTTAACAAGGTCATCTAAAATAAAGTATTCAGAGAAGTGAAGCATAACAGCAGTATTTCAAACCACATTGTTCTCCCTCCAAGCTAGACACAAGCCTTGTATCCCTATCTACAAATCTCCCTGTTTTAGAAGCATTGCAAACAACAATGCTCTGGGGGGAAAAGGCCACCTTACATAGGAACACACAGCTGAACTCAGTGCTGTCTCCAGGGTTGCTGGTGCTGCCGGCCTCCCTTTCAGCAGCAGTGACAGGGGAGTTAAAAACTCCCTTCCCCCACCTCCCTTCTTCAATCACTGACTCTGCTGCACATTGGATCTGCAATTCTTGGTTTGATAAAGATCAGGGAAACAAAAAACCCCATCCTCTTGGCATCTAATTTTATGTGCTTTAGCCACCTGTTTGAGACATAGCAGAACACAACAGACACACCGGCTGAACCGACAGTCAGCTGGGCTGTCCTTTCGGTGTTCCCAGGCTTGAGGACTAGCAAAACAAGCTACTGCCCTGTGAGAGGTCCCATGGAGTACATGGGGCAGAGGAAATCAGACTGAGGAAGATACACAGTCTAGGAACATGAAAAAAAACAGGTGGCAGCACTTGGTGGCTCTGACGAGTTACAGGGTGAAATGCAGGGAAAAGCAAGTTGATGGTGAAAGTGGAGAGGGATCTAGGAAACAGTAGGGGGCTGTAGATATCTAGGGTATGGCAGAAGGACCAAACCCCAGGCATAAGAACCGGCTATTACAGAAGAGGACGTGCAGGCTAAAAGACCCATCGAAACACCACACTCCCAAGCACAAGCCCCTCAGCAGGACAAGAGCAGCTGTTAGTGAGCTATTAGCTTCATGGGGATTTACAGGGCAGCAGCGATGTCAGCAGCTGCCATGCCCCTCTTTTGCAGTCATCCACAGCTCTTCCTCTGGTTACCCTTGGAGATGACCACAACTCCTTTGGAAGGGGAATTGGCAAAGGGCATGATATCGGTTATCAGGCTCAGTTTTATGAAACAGATGAGAATATTACAGAGATTTTTATTTCACCATCTTGCCAGAAAGGTAAGAAATTAGACTTCAAGACCAGATGCAGGGGCTGTCAAGGCAAACAATTTTCAGAGACTGTGTCAACAAAAATACTTAATTGTTGTACTGCTGCTCTCCCAAAGAGTCTTCAATGTGTGCTTTCTGGAGCAGAAGGCGACATTTACTCCCTTGTGTGTCCATGTGTAAAGGAAGTCAAGCAGCAGTTCCCAGGAAGTTCCTAGCAGCAGTTGCTAGGAATGATAAAGAGGAGAAGCAAGGGATGACAAAAAGAACAAAAGGAGGAAGCCCGTAATTTGTATAAGAGGACATACATAGTTAGAAGTGAGATGTTAGGAGAAAATGTGTGTGTATATATATAATTTCGTTATCGTCCATTCTAACTCGTCCCTTAATTGTGCATTTCCGCAAATTTCATGAGTACAGAAATCAAACTAAAGACATACATTGGTACAAGTTTTGAACATGACAAAATTCTGCAAAAGAGCAAAAAGACTCTGCAATCTCTTTGAGCATGTAAGAGCAACTGTCATTTCCAAAAGCCATGACTCAGAAATGCTAATTCTGTCCAAATTACTAAGTTACTCAGGATGACAATAAGAACTTTTCAGAGATTATCTGAAATCTCAGCTATGATATGAAATGCCATTTAGACTGATGATTTTCATAAGCCTCTCAGCAAACTCTTGTCTCAACCTCATCCCTGTCACCACATTAAAAATTCCTCTCAAATTGCAAAGCCCCAGCTGTGCCATTCTGCACCATCTCAGAACAGCCTGGAGACATGACATCTCCATCAACACCAATACACACGCTGGACAATGACAAACTGCATGTCTGTCACAGAAAGATCTTTCCCCTCCATGTTGCATACAGTTACAACCTTTGTAAAATGCAGTGGACAAAAATATATAAAGAAACAAAAAAAAAGTGTTCTTCTTAATTGGCTATAAAACAGAGAAAATTCATGTTTAAGTTTCCTTTTCTCCCTAACTCTCTGACAGTCTTTAAGAAAGATCACAAAATTTTCTTCTGTTTCTGTTTTGCAGTTACACAGCGCAAGACTACAAAAGCTGGCCCAGACCACATAGAGCTACTATTCTAATAAGTTGCTGCAGACATACAGCTATCTTGCAGAATTATTTATTTTCTCATTGGAAGATACACATCATTAAGTAAAAATCTGACCCTTTAAGCAAGTCTTACGTGAATACTATCACTGATGCTTAGACTTTCCTTGATTTTGTTTTCCCACACTGGTTCTCGTACATGAGGTCTTCTAATGCTACTCCACTGAAGAACCACAGAAGACTGGGTATTGATCAAATTAAAGTTTTAGACCAGTAAGAAGAAAGGGACTGGTGTAAGCAGGGCTGCTTCAGGATGGGGGGCCAAGCTGAGGCAACTCTAGAAGAGTTCATGCCCTCACCAACAGGGCACCCTTCCCCAGGATTGCAGCCAGCAGGCAGACCTGGGAGTGTTACAGACTCCAGAGACAGCCCCAACACAGCAGGATGAGCCCAGGAGCCCAGTCTGGTGCAAAAAGAGATAGAGCTACCATATAGTTATGAGTGGCCCATCCAGCAGAAGAGCCAGAGACAGACCCAGGGCTCCACCACACCTGCTGGGTGAGCCTGCTCAGGCTGCTGCTACTTGTAGTTAAATAAAGAGAAATAAAATTAATTCTAGATTGCTTAGAAATAATATTTTAGAGTCTTGTTTTCATGATCTTTGTACTTCTAAGTCTGAGAAAGCATGAGCTTAATCTTCTTTTGGGTATTGAGAAGTCTAACATAGATCTAGGAGTTCTTGATGCAGGGACAAAGCCCCACCACATTCCTCAAGATTTGCAGTGGAATTCAGAGTACTAGGAAGACATTATGTTTCCATGCACATGCACAGAAATGTGGGTGTACAGCCATAGGATTCTGTGCTGCATGGCTTTTATCTTATTTGCATTTTCTCCGTTTTATGCTGTGCTCCACTAAGATGAGGTGGGGAGTCGAACATTCTGGAAAGAGCAGGGGAAAAAAGTCCTTTGCCATGACAGCTCCTAATAGTTCCTTACTCCTCTGCTCTGAGGTACCACTGGATGTATCAAGCTAGGGAATCACATCGGTGAGCTGCCAGTCAGCAGCCTTTTCAGCGGCTTAAGAGAGGAGCAAAGAGCAAAGCCACGGAACTGTTGAAAAATGGATGCCTTCTGAGGTATCAGAGGAGGTGGCAGAACTTTCTGCAAATCAAAGTTAATGAGGTAGTTGTAGCCTTCACCTGGCTCATCTTTTCACCACATCACAGGCTGTTTCTTGAAGGCACAATGAGGGCATGGCCTGCACCACGATGACTTTCACCCCTGGCCTCAGCCACCCTCTTGGAGCAGCCCTGCTCAGGTTTCTCACTGACAAATAGTTATTTTGGTGGTTTATGGCTTCCTTGGAGGTTCCAACAGTAGTCACAGAACTACTTTCTCCCAAAGACAACTACTGCATTTCAAATTGATAGCACCAATGTGGTACACATTGTGAAAACAAATGGCTTAAGCGTCCACGCAAACTATGCACAGTCTGATTTACCCTTAATAAACACAACATTGTTGACACAAAAAAGGTCCTATATAAAATTTATTGTTTGATAGAAATCCTCAAAGGGAAGATAATTGATATTACTGTTTCTATGCCATCCCATCTTTCCAGTCAACAGAGGCATTGTAGGATTCGGCTGATCAAGCTGACAGTCTGTTTTCCTAAGGCTGTCGGCAGCCAGCATAAGTCAGAGCAGCCCTGAGGTTGATTTAATTTATACTGATGGACCTGGTGGAACAGACTGACCTCAGAATGAACTTCATCCTACCTTTTTAGCCTTTTTCCTTACCTAGGCTATATGCTACTCAGTGTAGCTTATTGAGTGTATAAATATGGATACATGCATGCATTTTATTTTTCAGCTGAAAAATTGAAAGCCACTGAGTAATTTCCCAAATTCTTAAGTAGGTCTAAGACTGCCCCCAGGAAATTCTTTCCTGCTTCTCTTTTGAGCTGAAATATAATTTGGGCAGTTCAGTCAAAGCAGTGTAAATAATCATGCAGAGCAGTCAATATAGTTCACAGTTTCCAGAGGTTTAACACACTTAGATGGCATCTGGACCACTGATATAAATAAAAAGTATCCTTTCAAGAAACTATTTTTTAAAAAGCCAACAATTTTTGTAACTCCATAACCCAGTAATATAGTGCTGCCACTACAAGTAACAGGCTCTAGGCTTAGTACTGAGTTTGCAAGACCATAGCACAGAGTTTTGCCACCTTTGCTTTGTCTAAACTTGTCTTAATAAGCCTTCAGTTTTGTTTTTGACTTGGATTAGTTTTACCTTTTGTTTTTGTTTTTTTTTCTGGCCATATGACTACGGCTATTTGCTTTACTTTCATTCGTCATTGTATAGTGCCACTATAGTTTTACACAGATAGAAGTAACAAGTGACCATTTAGTGCAGAATGAGATATTTATGATTAACAAAACAGTGCAGAAGAACACAGGCTCAGTATAATAGCAAACGCCTTGAGAAGCGGGGACATGGGATGCACTGTACTGGAATACAAGTCTGGGATGATAAGAAAAGGGGCACAGGCTGGTTCTGAGAACCCCATGACTATAAACAATTCACCAGTGTTCATTTAAAATGCAGAACTGTAACTGGACAACACAAATTTATACTTATGAAGTTAAAAAAGCCAAGGTAGCTAACAAATGTAAAAGATACCATACATTCAGGTGTACCACATAAATTTAGATGTATCATAGAGATGAAAACAAATGGAGAACAAGCAAGGTATAAAAGCACATCAGAAAACATAAGTGACCCCAAATACACCCTAGAGGGAAAAAGAAACCATCAACACCACATTCCTCCAAGCAAAGGGCTACAGACTTGCCGTAACAACCACATCACCACCCAGCTGCGGCCACCGACATTATGATCCAGAGCTGCAGTGGAAAGGTGAGCATAACCCCAGGGAAAGAACTAGAAACTAGTGGTCGTGTAACAATTTTAAATGTATTACTATTATTATTAGGAAAATTTTTGGCAAGGGGTATTACCATAACACTGGTATTTCTGTCCGAAAGTATTTTGTGTAGTAACACATCTTGACTAATGGTGATTTGTGGCTTAAACTGTTAAGATTTCAATTCTACTAACAAATTATTGCTTTATGCAAAAGGTGTTTGCCCATAAGCAGGATTTATTTTGCACAGTCTTATGCTAAATCAACAGTTCTCTACATAAACAAATAACTAGAACACATCATTGAGATCAACCTATAAGTATTATGGCCTATTACTGTGATACTGAAGCTTTCCAACTTGCTGCATGCTGAATTTATTGCTACCCATAAACCTCTACAATATTAAACCATAAATATTTAATGGTCTCACATGCTTACCTGGCTCAGACCTCCAAGATCTTTTGGCAGATATTCTCAATTTTCTAAGAATAATATACATATAAAAATGCACATATTCTGATTAGCTCACCCTAAATTAACTTTATTGTTATATATTTTAAAAGTTTGTTTGTGACTACATCCTTCAGAAAATTTGCCTAAATGTCTTTGTATTTTAATGTTTTTCGACATTTCTGAAGTGAATAAAATCACTGAATAAATTTCTTCTTAAAGAAAAATTCCAAATTCAAATTAATTTCTTTTTTTTTCTGCATTCTGGGATCCTCGTTCGAGGATATGGATAACTTTTTTCAAGTTCTTTTTTATTACAGAGCTTCTGCTGTTCCTTTTTGGTTCTTTGTGAGTATTGCTTGAAAGTTGTCCTTGTTTTGCTTTTCTGTGTTCACTTCTCCCACCATGTATGCTCCCAAACTATCCAAAGTTTAAATCCACATATGATATACTTTTGGTGCTCATGTAATAAAGGACTTTCTAAGGAAGGATAAAAGTACGCTTTCCTACGGCAGCAGTGAAGGGCAAGAATATGACAAGGTACCGCTACAATTTTACCCCAAAACAGTGTTCATTATTCAGTAAGACCATCTAACGCCTCACATCTTTTGCATTAAGACACTGAAGGAAATTTTTAGCACAGAGTAACAATGTTCCTATTTTCCCTGTCTATGAGGCGGGAACAACCTTTGCTGCAGAAAAGGACGCACTGTGATACCTACAACTCTGTCGAATTCATGTAACTTACCGAAAGTGGTTGTTTTCCTGTGCTCTGTAACTAGTATTCTTGCATCTTGAACCAACGTTACAGAAAAGGGTTCGCATGAAAGGATAAAGGCCCCGACCTGGTAAATCACGAGCTTCTAAGTAACCTAAAACCAAGCAGAGGCAGAATCAAGGCCAGTGACATGGCAGTTGCAGACTGTACCACCACACTGTGTTCCCTTCTCCTAAATAGCATCTTTGTCACCTGAGTGATGAAGTTGTATCAATGGTAGGTGTCCCATTTAAGAAAAACTCTGTCACCACAGAAACCACAGAGTAACCTCTATGTCAGACTGTGACAACAGGGTATATATGACATTTAAGAGCGATCTTTGAAAAGCTGAATTTCCTGGTAGTAACACTATTGCAATATCAGGTACTTGCTAGCCCAAAATCATGTGTGACTTGGAAAAGAATATAGACTTCTTCACAAAACAGTATCTTCTCACAGGCTTTCATAAGATGAAGGAACTGGTATTCAGCAATGTCTGAACATATATCCATCAAGACGGTCTAAACAGCAGCTTTTCCACACCTCTGGAATTATCCACATCTCTCCATAAAGAACATACAGGCTATGTTCTCTCCAGCCATTTCACTGTACAGATCTAGAATTGTTTTACCAAATTGATTTTTAATGTAGCTAAAGATGATTTATCTTGTCTAATTGTTAATATCTACTGGAGAATTATCTACCTCTGAACCAGTCATCTAAAATCCATTACTCAATTGAAAGAAATAAATACAACTAAAACCCAAGTAATCCACCTTATATCCAAAATTGATCTCTAAAACTGTTCTGAAAAATCAGAGCTTAAACTTTGTATCTCTCCCACCTAAAAACAGCTTGCTCAGGTCCACAGCTAGACAAGATTGAACCCCACTTTAGGACTCTTTCCAGTGACTCCACTACATTTAAGTCCCCCATTTTAGGATATCATTAGTATTTGCTAAATCTTTTTACAAGTAGAGGCAACCAAAATAGAACACAAGTGAAACAAAACATACAGTTTTCCTTGTATTTTGGGGGCTCCTGGAAGCGGATTGCAGCTAGAATCAAGAACAGCACACATGGCCACAGTATTTCAGCGAGAGATAGGACCTGAAAAGGCAAATCAAAACATCATAAGCCTATAGAAAGCAGGATTTGGGAACAAATCACTAAAAATTTTATATCTTTTAATAATAAAAAAATTAAATATCTCTTTTACAACTACTTAAGGGAAAGTAAGATCATTGAAGTAAATTAATAATAGATACTTCTATTTAAAATCCTTATAACTTTGTGAAATACACTTGGTCACAGAATGAAAAAGTAGTTTTCTCTTCTATTTATAGTGTTAGTAGGACACAAACGCCCAAATAGACTGAACAGAAATAAAAAGCACAGAGACCAGTTGTCTCTATTTTCAGCAACAGAAACGAAGAAACTGCCATTTAGCCAAGTTTTAAAAGACTTCTAGACTCACTGATAACAGTGTTAGGAAAGTGCAAACAGCAAACTCAGTAACAGAAACACAGTCGAAATGACAGCCAGGCTGAAGATCTCCCATTAGTAGCTGTTAACTTCCCTGAAGCATACTGAGGATTTTATTTCTAAACTGCCAGAGTTAAACCAAATCCCATGGAGGAAGTGATTCCTGAACTTGGGTATGTTGGAAAAATGCCTGAGAACAGTAACATAATGCTTAAGAACAAAATCCAGTGTCAGAGTCTTCCTTGTGGAGAAGGACTTCTCTGCTGAACATGGGGCAAGAAGACAACAAAAGAAAAGCAAGGCTGGTGCTTAAAAATTTTTAGGGATCAGCAAGAGCTGACTGCTCCCCAAGGGGCAGGGATCCGTGCATGGCAACACCAGCCAGTGGGGCAAGGGACCCACCCCAGGAACTCCCAAGGGGAGCAGGGCAGGCCCCGCCATTGCAGCCAGCCTCCACCAGAGTCCAGATCCTCAGTCAGTGTCATGGCAGAGCCATGGTCAAGCCAGAAAGACAGTGGCCAAGCGCAAGGGCTGAGCTGGAAAGCAGTGTTCCTCTGACTTCACCCAGGTGGGTGCAGAAGGCACAGAAACCTCACTTTGTCTGGATCCTGGGCCCTGGTGAGGCTGCTTACGGCCGCTAAAGCTTAGCAGAGCTGCAGGGCCTCAGTGGCATCCTCCCCTCCTTGGCATGTTCATCCCTTGCTGTGGAACAGAACCATGGCTGTAGGGTATCCATGGGCTGTCTGTGGGGAATGGAGCCAGGTGCAGCAGCTGAGGAAAGGGGCACTGCAGAAGAGATTTGGAGGGAATGTCACCAGGCTGCCCAGGAGGGGCTGGAAAGGGAGCAGGCTGCCCCTGGGGGCACACACCACCACAGCCAGGGCTGCAGGAAGGTCCCATGAGAAGTTCGGGTGGGGGATCAGGGCAGTGGGAGACCAGAGCTGGGGGGAGCTTATAGGGGGAGGCCCTGGACAGCCACAGGCTGGGCTCCCTCAGGAAGCTCACCTCAGGGCTCAGGGCAATCCCAGATGGCAGCCAGGACAGAGCACCAGGCAGCTGCTCCCTGAAGGGCAGGGAGCCAGAGGGGATGCTGGGACAGCAGGGCTCTTGTCAGGGAGGGCCTGCCCTGCTGTGCCCGGGCAGGACAACAAGCTCCGCTGGGAGCCTGGATCACCAGGTGAGCCAGGGCTATGGCTGAGCCAGGAAGCCAGCCTGTAGTGACAGCATTCAGCATCAAACACAGCCCTGCCATCTCTGGCAGAGCCAATAGGAGGATGGGACAGCTAGGACAGAGACTGCTGCGTCTGCTGACAGGAATTTGGGATAAATATAAGAACAAAGAAGGCAGCTGCAGAGGCAACAACAACAGGTTGGAGGACTCAATGAATCATCAGCATGCTGCAGACATTAAGCATGCAAAATTGATCTCAATGAGTAAGTTATTTGTGGCATACGTGGGAAAGTAATGCCACTGTATAAGATATATTTGTGCTTGAATGAGAAAAGCATCCACAGAATGTCCAAAGAAAGGCATTTGTGAGATTACAGGATTGCAGTCCTTGCACAGCTGCTTTGCCCAGGTACTGGGAGGAACTGGAGTCTGAGAGCTCATGTTATTCTGAGGAGCTGTACCTGGGAGGAATAGTGAGGTTTTGTAATGGAGCCTTAGGGCCTAGCTGATAAAAGCAGACAACTTTGTAATTGTTCACTCAGGGTTTTGGAGGTTTGTGTGTGTATGTGGTTTTTTGTTTTGTTTTAGGTTTTTTTGCAGGGATGCAAAAACATACGTGCACAAAACAGAGGACACTCATTGGTCAGCAACTCTCAGGGGATGTTTATAACTCTTAAAGTGTGGAAGAAATAAAGGAGTGTAAACTATAAAAGACAGAAGGAGGGCAAAGATGACTCTCGGTGTAGGGGCAGATAAAGAACAAGAATTATACCTGCATTTTCTGCCATGCTTAACATTAATCCAAAATGAAAACTACTACTAATAATAACTTTTTTAAAAAAGGCATAGTTTTAGAGTAGGCTATGTTTCTGTTTTGTTCTAATAACCATATCAGTGACTACACACTCCAAGGATTTCACAGCCTGATTTTAAATTCCAAGGGTCCTCTAAATTAGGGTATCAGAACAAGAGAATTTAGGAACCACCTTTCATCCTTTACCTAGATACAAATTTGGATGGTAATAGATCATTTATTATTTATTATAACTATTTAAACAATAGTTAAGAAATGCATAGATAGAAAACTAAAGTAGTACATTTGCCTGGTAGTGTGTATCTCCTGAGCTTCTAAAATCTGTAATTCTGAAGCAAAAGTTTCTGAAACAGAAATGAGACCGTGTCTTCAGCACAACTGCAATTTCAAGCTCCAGCTGATGCCCAAATATACATAATAACTTGTGCTGTCTTTGAACCATGTTAATAGGAGGTGCTTATGCCAATATGAATTTCATTCAAAACACCTGTTCCTTATAGAACGCTTATATCAGTCACACACCCTTCATTTTTCACTGTGTAATATCAACTAATGCCACATGATATTTATGACACATTGTTAATTCAACAGAGCTCATTTTTCTTCTAGCCCTAACTATTGATAAATAACCATGAGGAGACTATTGCTTTATACAGGCAGTTCTACATGATATGAAACAGAGCTGAAGCACATCAGATCTTTCTCTACTTTTCAGATTCACAAGGGTCTGACCTGCCCTTTGCACAGGTGGATGATCCACCTGGATTTCTCCTCAGGTAACTGCAGATGGAACACCTTCACAGCTCAATGATTGCACAACAGGCACATAAGGAGGGTTTGCAAGTTCCCCCAGGGCAGGTCTTGGCTCTCAACAGGTAGAATTAAGTTTGCTTTGGGTTTGCAATTCTTGGTTTGGAGAAGTCTACATCTCAGTGAGCTCTCTATTCAGGAAAGCTACCAATTAGGCAAACTTAAAACTTACATGAGGGAAAACTACACAGAAGAAGACAAATAGATCCACATGGAGGAGAGCAGGAGATACTGAGGAGCCAATTGATGCACACTGATTGAACATACAGAAGTGTTTAGAAATGAAGAAGAATATGATCAACAGCATCCTTCCCCCAAAAAAGTCTTTTATATTAAAAGACATCACTTGTAATAATTTGGTGAAGAAATTTTCTCTAAATCACAATTTTATTTAGCATAAATATTTCTGGAACTAAAAACTGTGTGTTTATTTAATTGAGATAATCTTATCCAAACAGCCAACATGCTTCATTGTAAAGCCCTAGATCATCACAGACAAGTGAAATCAATGTCAAACTATTAATTGAAGTGACTCTTTTTTTTCCCCAAAAAATGTTGCTTCACTTGAGAAAATTCACTTCCTTCTATCTTAAATTAAAAAAATCATTTCAATCACAGTAAAGGTGAATGACATGTCATATTTAGGTATCATTTTAACTTTGCCGTAGAAGTGGCTGTCACATTCTTCAGCATATTGGAATTTGAAAGGTTCAATTAAGCCTTGTAGAGTGGACAAAAAAGGAAATTTAGAAGTATATGCAATTTTAATGCACATTCCCTGTATCTAGATTTTGATCACAGTCATGCAAGCTTTCTTATATTACCAATGAGTACCTGTAAGGTGAAGAAAATTGATTTTCACCCTTGCCACTACTACCAGCACTGCTAGTATCTAATGTTAATTAAAAGATAAGCTGTGGCTCTTAGAAACTTCTATGAGATTTTCTATCACATTTGCAAAGTGGAGTGCATTGCTGTATTCAGCCATTTTAGAACTAAAACAACCCGTTGTTGTACTTGTATTTTCAACAATTAGATGACCAAAGGCAAAACAAGAACCACTTGCAGCCACCCTGTCCGTAGCAATCTGCAGTAAAAAGGGAAAATTGAAAGATACGCTTTTTCCAACAGATACTAAAAGATTTAAAATATTCCTTTTTTAATCATTTTTAAGCACTCACCGGTTGCCTCACACGGCAGAGCCAATTTTTCCAAAACAGAGCCTTGAATTGGTGTACAATGTGCCCCATATTCTCTTTTCTTTCCTTCATCCACTTGCTGAGTGGCTTCTTAGGGACTTTCTAACTCAGAATCATCTCACAAAGCAGTCCAAAAAGTTCCGTATTATTCAGAAGCTGATTAATTCCAGCACTAGAGAATAGTGCAAGAGATTTGCCTGCTTCCTGAGAAAAGATGAGATTATGTTTCTGCCTCTTGTTTTTCATTCGTTGAGGAATCTCATCTTTCCGTTTGCTTCTCAGTGCAATGAACAGTAAGGGGACGGGTTTGTATAAATGCCCTTGGGGGGCTTTACTCCAGCATACATTCGGCACTTGTTTCGACTTTTCTGGAATAAAATAAATGCAAATGACAGGGGGAAAAAAAGAATATGTAACATACATTTGTCTTTTTCTAAAGTTGGGCGACTTTCTGTCACTTCAGTGTTTATGTCACTTTGTTTGCATATGCTTAGATTTTGAAAAAAAAAAGAACAGTAGAAAAATAAGTACACTGTTTAACCACATAGTCCTAAAAATGTCAGTATGCTTCTTGAACACCCTTATGAGTACACATCTAGCACTGTAGTGGACCCATTGCATCATCATATGACTGTTGAATTTTTTCTTGTAAAGGATGTATGTTTGACATTCTCCACTATACAAAACCTACATAGAGGCAGAATATTCTGACAAGTCAGAAAACTATGTTAAACTTCCAGATGCCACCCAGGATGAAAATCAGTTTTATAGCAGCAGTTCCTTTAGCAAAGAGGAAGCTATTCCTGGAGCTGTGTGAGGGGATCTTCAGGAGGGGAGCCTATGCAGATCTGTGGTAGCAGGGCCACTGGGAGACACAGCAGGAGTTTGATGGTGCAGAGGATGGCTACCTTACCCATCAGGAGTGCCATTGTGAACAGAGCACTAAACTTTCTGTATGTTTTGGTCTACCCAAATGAATTGCCTGAGGTAGAATCTGATGCCCAAAAGTTCTCTCTGTGGTCAATAGAGACACCTAACACAGCCATTATAGAAGGTAATTCAGACTGCCTAGAATCTGAATCATGAATCACACAGACATAGGACAGCATGATGCCTGAACAAATATTTTTTATTTGTCATTATTGACAAGTAAATTGCATCATTACACTTTTTGCAAAATGTATTACTATTGAATGAAAGACACATCTTACATTCACAGCTGTTTTTCCACATTAAGAGTAAAATCCCCCCAAAATGTAAAAAGGTTTTGGATACAGAGACACCACAGAGTAATTCAACTTCCATAAGCCAAGGCAGCAATTTAAAAAGTGAATAAGCCTGATATTCTGCAATGAACAACTGCACATCTGCAGGTCTATTGAGTTATGCCAGTTTCCATATAGGATGAGGATCAGCTAGTGTCCAGTGCCTTAGCTTGCCTTTCCCAAGCTCTGGGTTTGGGTCACCCAGCAGCAGTTTTTGGCCCTCCAGAGCACATTGAGAAGTTTTGTTACTCCACTTCATGGTAAACTGACTGATTAGTCTGTTAAAATCTTTGTATTTGAAATGGTGCAAGCTACTGTTTTAATTTTTACCTTTGCAATGGGTTCAAGGAGTAGAGAAAAAACAGACTAAGTAGGTGTCATGAATTCATAAATTTTTACATATTGGTCAAAATCATCTCCTAGCAAAGCAGAAATCACAGATGCAGCCATGGCAGAACACAGCTAGTTAAACACCTTTATTCCTCAAATATGGTGGGATTTCCTTTTATTCTCTTTACTCTGAGACTGAAAAAATACTGAAGTAATCATTTAGCTTTAAACAGAAATGTGAAAGTCCTCAGAACATACTAAAAAACTAAGTAGTTTAGTGTTTACCTGACTGTTGTTAAGCATATCTGTACCTCTGAGGCAGGATTAATTAATACCTCACCAAGGAGTTCCACTTCACACCTGGAAGGCACTTCTGCTTTTAGTCAAGTAATACTAAAATCTCTGCTATTTCAGAGTATGGACAGTAATTTTTCTCACTAGGATCAAAGGCAAAATTCTGAGATAGCTCGGATGAAAATTCTGCACACAGTTGAAGTATGCATTTTTAAACAAATATTTTTCAATAACTGAAATTGAAATGTGTGTTTTAATTTGTGTGGTTTTACACAGTCTTTATGGAAAGCTGGGAAGAAGAATCTATAGCATGTGATTTGAAGAAAATTATAAACTACTCAACATAATGAATTACAAAAAGTTACTTAACAAAGCAACTGATATGGAAGAGAGTTCCTGACTGTGTGAGCCAAAACAGCTCACATGAACCGTTTGCCAAATGGTTTTGAACAAGTCATTCTGCAAAATCTCTGCTCATCTGACTGTGTGATCTGTAAAATTTATTACGCTCTATATAATTACATACTCATAAATGTGGTATTCTATTTTTAAATGCTAAACAGCTTTTCATGGATACAGGAAACAATTATTTTGTATGGAATTAGTGTCCAGTACTAATGAACTACTGACTCCTCATTTTACTATATAAAGCACTCAACAGACAAACACCTTTCACCATTCAGTTCTGTTGACTTCATTTGTCCTCCTATCTCATAGTCCTTTCCTATAGAAATTCCTTCTTGCCTAGTATGGTGTCCTCCAGTAGCAGACTCGTTTTTTCTAGAACAAAATTTAGGAAAGTAAAAGGTACCCCATGAACATTCCACCAAGAACAATCCCTGCACTGACATTCTGAGACATTACTTCTAAAAGTTGTATGAGCTTGATTGCATTATTTTCAATGTCATAGAAATATGACAATTATTGAATCAAATGATCACCACCTGCCTCACTCCCTCACCAAACCAAACTCTTGGCACAGAAAACATGTTAATAATAAAAATAATGCACATAGGCAGGAAAAGTAAATCGGTTCGGAATATTTTTGGAGAGATGTGTCACCTGTATTGCTGCCACCCTGGAAGCTCATTTGAATGCCCTAGGTTTCATCAGTACAGCATCAAGCAGTATCCTGTGCAAGTACCAGCCTTAAATAGCTATATTAACTATATAATTATTTCATTATAAGGAACAGCTAATAGCTATATTAACTGTATGTTTTCAGAGCTTATTAACAGAGTGTCTGTAATCAACAGCAGCATCTTGAATATTGCAGGGCAAATTAGAAAGGGATTTCATCATGTGCTCCACTCCTTACGGAATGAAAAAAAAACCAAACAGGGTTAGAATTGGATCCTACAGTAAGGAAAAGACAGAATGACCTGCCCTTTTCTGCTTTTGCTTAGCTTTGGCAGGCTTTGTCTCAGTTTTAACTTAAAACTTTACTCTTATAATATGCAAGTTATTCAAAACCACTGGTGCAGAAAAGGCAGAAAACCTCCTGCAAGCATTCAGCTCTGATTTTAAAACTTGACTGCATCATAATAGCATACCATCAACACTCCACGTCTAGCCTGCAGTTTTAATACAATGTAATTAGAGTAGGCTGGGAAGCGCATTCAAAGAAACATAATTTCATCTGTTAAATAGGTTAAAGCCCAGGAGCCAAAAATACTGTCTGGTAGACAGGAATGCAGTCAAATCTTGTGAGAATATGGATGGAAATCTGGCAAACTAGCCTATTTTCCTATCACCACCCACCATTTCTTTAACAAGGTTTATTGAGTGATCACAAGGCTTTTACTCTAACATTAATAGGAGTACTACTTGTAGTACTCCCAGACCTGTGTCCCAGACAAAGTGTCTGCAGGTTGACATCAATAGTAGCATCTTTCCTTGGAGACACTTCCTGGGTGCAAAGTTAGGGCATGATGAAAAATGTTAGTTGTGGGCAAGGTTAAATAATAGGGCTGATTAAAATGGAGCTATACATTAACCGACTAAACAGACCCAATCTCTCAAGGAGGATGGTGGTTTGTTTGAGCTTCTGGGAAGCACTAGGAATTTTACTCTTGTAAAATGACATACAAATACTATGCCATTAAATTGAAAATTTTTCTCATAGTTATAAGCTCAGCACCAACAAGAAGCATCTAGAATCAGGTTTCTGTGTTGTGAAAACAGACTCTGTCTTTTGCTGCTGCTTCACTTTGTTTGTAGCCTGAGCAAAAGCACTGTCCCTGTCAGCATTACTCTTTCTTCCATTATTGTACCATGGAGTTTCAGATTTAACGTTGCTCTGTTCAGTGATCTCCTTTCTCTTCAAGCAGAAGATTTTTTGAACTGTAATTTAATCCATACTCAAGAGTATAATATTTAATGGTAATTATTTTAAAGATAAAACATGCATTTTAGTCACTCAAAGACTGATGAACTTTCAGGGAAACCAAACCTCTGCATCTTGTATCAAACTGTAACAGTGTCATCAAATCACACTGCTGTGTTTTTTTCTACTCAGTTGTTGCATGCAGATTCAGTTCCCAAAGCCCAGTTTGCTGCTTGCACTGCTGTGCACTGCAGTCAGAATATAGCTGGCTGCTCATGGGCAGGTCTGAAAGCATTCACCTGTCACTTGTCAATGGAAATGAAAAACATCCCTGATTCAACCATATAAGCATTTTATTTAGGAATATATATTGAGATCCAGACTTGAGATGAAAACCCAGTTCCGTAACACAATTCACTGAAATTTCTTTTCAAGGAATAATGTTAAAAAAAAAAAAAAAAATATATTTTCAAGAAATACTGAAAGTACTGAATTATTTTGCTTGGGCTTTTAAAGGACAGATAAGAAAATTTGTAGTCTAACCATTCTGGACATAGGTCATTCCAAAATGTTCCTTTACAGGATTTCTCATACCTTCCATTAAAGAAAAATGCAAAAGTAAAATGCCAGAAGTAAAAATCTACTCCTTCAAGTCACTAACTGAATTACTGCACTTTCTCAGTCTCTTGCAAATGTGAAACCACTGCATTATAGCATGTCTTCATTGTAGCCTGAGGCATTTCTTTAACAAAATGGTAGGAATGGGTCAGAACACCATAAATCACGGAACAAACCATTGGTAGAAAACACTGTTTTCTCCCTTCACTCTTCCACCCTATTCATACCTTCTACCTTTCTTTGCTTTTATTCCTTCTGATCCCTGGATTAAATTGATTCTGTAGTGTATTGGTAGGGACAGGGTGGCACATAGAACCATATCAGGCTCTTGATTTGAAACAGAGGTTTCTGGTGTTTGAAGGATTTTTAAACCTACCACAAGACACTGCACTATGTAATATTGAACATATATGTAATATCACATACGTTTTTTAAAATATCACCACTTTAAATCCTGATTTATGTTCTACAGAAAGAATGTGAATGGCTAATATTAAATAACTGAATTGCTTATAAAACCTGTAACTATTATATAACTCTCTATGGATGTCTCTGTAAAACCTACAGGAATGTAACTTCACAGCCGGATGCACACAGCTGACTCATTTCTTTATCTCCCTGTCCAGTTGCAGTCACAAGGGGAAATACAATTGTTCTTATCAGGGTAACATTCTGGCAAGTTTCCTCTGAAGCTAGGAGAGGTATTTTATTTATTTCAGATGTGTTTGTAGAGCCCCTTCTTGCATTAGGATAACAGCATCAGAGGACGGTGATCACAGGAAACAGGAGGATACTTGGTCTCTTTTGAATTCTAATTTTAAGCTGTCATAAACCCCTTTATTCCACTTGGTAGGAAGCACAGAAGAAAAATATTTTAGCAGAAAAAAATGTACAGTGTCCTAAGGAACAGTGAGAAGGAGAAAGGACATATTGGCAAAAGGTGAATGGATCATCTTCAAGGGACTTCTGCCAGGGTCTTGGGCATTGATTTAATACAGTAGTTGCATCACCCCATGAATGCCTGACCCTTAGCTCCAGCTCAGCCAGGCCACAAGACCATCAGCACGCAGCACATAAGAGTTTTTGTATTAGTCCTCAAGATAGAAGTGCTTACTTTATATGACTGTAAACACAAAAGCTTTGTAGTTTCAATTGACAGCACATGCTGTTAAAATGACTCAAGAACCTCTTTTTAACCTGTTTCTAGATTCTTGTTGTCCTTCTTTTAAAAAGACAATCACACCATTTCAGATTCATACTCCCAAGACAACTGCAGTAATATGCTTCCCCAGCCAAAGAGCCACATTAGGTGTTTGTTTTCTAGGTAAAGCATTTTTACTTCTCTTTAGGTGCTTCTTAGTAACTATTTCTTGTACAACAGCAAACTTTCTCCTCCAAACCCATACTGGTCAATTTGGTATAAGCTTTTCTTCACACTAGAGTGCAGCACGCTGTTTCCAGTGATGTCCTTTTTATCTCATTACTGTTTTGAGAACAGGACGTTGCAGAGAAAAGATGTGCTTCATTGCAGGTTTCCCAAAGGACCTCACAAGCTTTGTCAATGACTAGGTAAGCACTAGGTATGGTTAAACACAGATTTTTTTTTTTGTTAATTATTATAATTTTTTTAAAACAAGGCATAAACAGTTTAAACAAAATGTGGAGCCATTTCCACCTATCTCCTTCCTTTAAGCTTAGGGAAAAAAGGTTTCCTGTGAAAACTTACATGCACTGTACATACTCATCCTAAATGAGAAAGTGTGGTTTTAAAATTAAAAGAAGATTAAATCAGTAACATTTAAAAAGTTACTAATCTGTTCTCCAGCTGAATATTCATCAAATTTAAGGAGGTTGATATTCATTGGCAGTTTTCTGTTCACGAGAGTTACCCTTCCTTTTTGAATGTTTCCATCACATTGCTTCCAGTCTCTGTCACTTGCTGAACGTGCCGACTACAAACATCACACCCTCATAGTTCTAACTCTTGTGCTTGTTAATAGCGTGCAGACTACAATCCTCAAAAAGCAAATCTCATTTTGCTGGATCAGCAACAGCTGTTCTGAGAGCTTATTCAGACCCTTTTGACCTGTGGCCTTTTCTAGGACTGAACACCCCACGCCAGTAGAAAGAAGAAAATAAAAAACTCCAACACATTTTCTTTAGCTGACCACATATTTATATTCTAATCAGAGCAGCAAAGTAGCAATGAGTATGATTTCTAAAAAAATTCCAAACGCTTAGGCCAATAATAATGGAAAAAACTGCAACTGCAGAAGGGGTTTTGATGGTATGTACAGTCAATAGATATTCTCCAGTTCTTCAGAAGAACTAGAAACCATTGCAACAGTGAATGTTTTGTCCTGAAAACATGGAGATGAAAAACAATTAAAAAAGAAAAGAAAAAGCTACCATAATACAGGCCTGTGAACATGCCGTACACCTGAATGCCGATTCCTCTTCATAAGCAGAAGGAGCCTTGCTTCAGCAAAAGATTGCAAGTTCTTCAATGCATAAATGTTTCCTGGATATTAATTTAATTGTATAGTTAAAGTATGGTTGGATGAACATCTAAGAAGTACAGATATTCAACAGCTCAGTGTCAAGTCCTTGAGGCTTAGAAAATTCAGTCCCAACACTTTGCAATTTCATTTAATTTTAATATAGGAAAATAGTATTGTTTATTTGTCAAAGTTTGCAAAAAAAATAAACTGCATTCACTTTAAGTTTTCTTTACAAGTGAAGCAACAAAGACAATTATAACTTACATAATTTTTATAACAATGAGGAAGGGATTAACATTTTTAAGTTAATTTGGTGGTTTGCAAGTATTTGGCAATAAAGTTTGATTTCTTTCCTAGTTTTTTCTTTTACAGCAGGGATAAATAAAGCCTTTTTATATATTATAGCTGGCTTGTCCTTTACAACAGATCCACTTTCCAATTCATGGAAAAGTGAGTTTTATATCCAGCAACACATAACTAAGCAAAGCTTAACTGAAGTCCATTCAGCACATTCAGTTCCCAAAGAACAGTGACATAAATGATTAACTTCCAAGACACACGGAATGCTGTAAGTCATCCTGAGGCAAAAGACTTGTAATGCACAGAAGTTGTAACCGTGAGTTCATCTGTACAAAGGCCTTCTCCTTCTTGAAAACAAAGATGGATATTTCATGCTTTCCCAAGACATTTCTTAATGAAATATCCCACTAACTTCTGCGGCCTCTGCTGATACTCCACAAGGACATCATGTGAGCTGCTGATTTGATCTCCTTCGAGTCGATTCAGAAGAGTGACACACACTACAGCAGCTAGAAATTAAAAGACAGGATTAGTTAGGAATAATATTCTGGAACTCGTACAGTCCAAAAGCATAAGCATTTGAACGAACAGCTAGAAGACAAGAATTACAAGAGAAAACAAACCCCAAAAAAGGGTGTGCAGTACCATAAGATGCTAGTGTACTAGCATGCTGTGAGGGATATAAGTTAGAAATAGCTTAAGAGATTGCTACATTAATGAAGCCAGAGCTCTCAGGCAGCTGTAAGACACTTATTGTTATATCATGATTCTTATGTTTTTCTGGATAAGAAGGATATTTCACAAGTACCCAGGACTTGACTGCTAGGAAGTGACTAGACACACTGTTCTAGCAGATGTAGTTACAGCCATCTCCCTTAACCCCAGCCGAAGTGCCTGTGCTGTAGGTGCCATCCCTCAGGAAGCAGCAGATAAGCCCCTTCCACATTCATAGACAGGGAGCACTGCAAGCACATGAGGACCCCATGGACCATCTCAGGTTCATCTGCTGCCTTTCAGCCCCAAAGGCAAAATCCCTCCTTTCACTCCAGCTGAGCTCTATCACTCAACCCTATCACTGTGCTCTGTTTGGGGTTTCTGACAGGGGGAATTTGCAGAGCACGAGCAGTAAATACACATTACAGACCTACAAGGCAGAGACAGCAAAAAGGACCAGGCTCCCTAATGGCTCAGGGATACCACTGGTTGGGTTTTTAATCACTCAAATCAGTAAGAACTAAGGATGTTTGATATAATTGTTGGTCTTTTTGTTTATACTTCTTCATTTCATCCTCCTTAAGTTTAAGAACTTTGAGAAACATCACTGTTTTAAATTGGCAAATCCCTTGCTAAGGAAACTGAGAGAAGACAGTTTAGACAGTAAGAAGAAAGACACTCTATGACATTATTTGTAATTGCTTTTTTTTCCCCTGATCTTTGATGAAAATTAGTTAGCTTGTGTAAAATATTTGAAAATTCATTTTATGATTGGGAATGGTTTATTCATGATGCTACTAAAACTCCTGAACTGTTTAAGAATCAAACTCTTACATCTACACAGAATACTTATATTTTCAACTTGATATGAAAGTATAGAAAGTTAGTATAGTTCTATATATATGAGAATCACCTGATTGCTTAAACTAACCAGTTGTTCTCTGTGAACTTCAAAAGCTAACTGAAGATAACAAATGAATGATAGGGGTAATTAGGCATTTAAATGATTTACATGGTTGCCAGGGGCTGGAATAGTGAATTTCAGTAGCAAACTCTGTAAAAACTATGTGAAGAAGCTTGATAAGTTGTGACACATCTGATACAAATCAAGCAATCGCAGCAACAAAATTATAAGCAGAACCATTGGGGTTTTTTTTTATATGCAGAAGGTACATTAACATTTCATTTGCAGTTTTTAACCACAAACTCCCTGCAGAAAAATTCCTGTAGGTTGGATAAAGTGACTAAGTTGGTTTACCTTTGACACCGCTGAGATTACACATTGCAGCAAATACGGAAGACTCCATCTCAATGTTTCTGACACCAGAATCATAAGCTTTCTTCAAATATTGGAGTTTTTCTTCTTCATCATATAAGCAGATTGCACCATCCAACCTGCCCTGTCCTAGAAATTAATTTTGTGGAAAATTTCAGAGTGATGAAGTCACAGAGCAAATTCAGTTTCGAAAACACCCAGTTATTACAGTTTCCCCTATGCAGTGTTCAGCTTCTACTACTACTACTCTTTATTTTTGCGCACAAGACAAATAGGAAAAAATGATTCTTAGCTATTGCTAGAGGTTCCACATAATAGTTGTATTTTTTATAATGTGAATCATGGCAATTTAACTGGTCTTCTTCAGCTTAAATTCTCAAATTCATAAACAGGAAACTGTTTATGTGCAGCATATGTGCAGCAAGCATCAGAATTCAGCAACAAATCTTAAGTTGTATGGAAGTGCTGCATTTTTAATATGTTTAATCACTATCTAGAAAAACTGCCAGGTTTGAAAATGTTTTTTCATTCATCCTTTGAAAGGATGAATACTTTATTAGTTACAGACTCTCTAAGGTAAGAGATGAAGAGTCTCTTAAGCTAACTAGGCAATATTATTATAATTTTTTGAGAAAGTGGGATCAGGTGCCATTTATAAATATCTAGATTTAGGAGATCAGAAAAACACCTGAATGTCTGTATGTTTATCCAAAGTAAGCCTTGGAGGTTTGTGCCTCCTACGAAGAAGCACTGACACAACTCGGTAAAATATTGTCTTCAATTGTCTGATCACTGCTTTGCTCAAAATGAAACAAGTTACAACAATTCTTTTAGAAAATATTTACTTTAGGTATTTAATCAAAGAAAACCAACCCCAAACCAGTCACAAATAATTCTCATTCCTCTATTTGTGACAAATATACCTGACAAGTACATGAGAAGTGTATAGTAGACTATATGTACTTCAGAGAATCTATTAAAGCTGGAGGAGCATCTCCACAAAATTAAAAGTTTAATACAGCAAACTGGTAAGTACAATGCTTAATTTTATGTAGATGAAGAACTGGTTCATTACGATTGGTGAGACAACCCACAGTAAGGAATGCGTTCTGTTCAGTGAACTGGAAGCTTAATGTTAATATATTATCCAATATTTATCTCTTGCTTCTTACCAATAATTTTCTGTTAGTCTGTCACCAGCCTTACCTTCATAGAAATCCAAAGTGCACATGGTGTTCCCAATGACTGTGTTGAACTGACCGATTTCTTTACTGCACTGCATCAGCTCCTTAGCCAGCTGTTCATCTAGGTTAGTACTGCGAATTACTGTCTTTCCCAGAACAACCTGTTCCAACTGAGGTTTGAAGGTGGCATCTACAGACTGCCTAGTTATAACCACTGAGCCTGGCTCCAGACCTGCAGTAAAAAGAAATAGATACAACTTCACAATGCAGTTAACACTTTGTTTCCACACACATAAAACATATATCTTGACTCAATGCTGCTTCTTTTATAGGTGGTAATTTTACCCCTGAATTCATCAGGAGAATTTTCTGCCCATGCCTATCTGCTTCCATTTATTATTACAAATAATTTCTGAAATAATTGAATTTTTTCTTTTTCACTACATGTTCTTTCTTATATCATATTTACATAGAGGACAAGAAGGTCCTTCTCACATCCAGATCTCTTAAGTGCATCTTCTCTATCAAAAAGCAGGTTTTGCCTTTACTTTCAAAATTACAGAAGAAAAATTATTCATCTGCTGTGGAAAACTGTTCTGACCATCAATCACTTACACAAAGAGAGATGCCCAACTTTCCTACAAAGATACTTATGTTTACAGAAATAAAACAGAAATCAAGAGGGAAAATACCTATTCCACCAGAGGTGCCAATGCGAATGATGGTTATGTTGGAACACTTGGCATGATACAACAATTTGATCAGCTCATGCAACATGATTGAAATAGAAGGAATGCCCATACCATGCTGAAAAAAAAGCAGAAATTCATACTCCACACTCATATAGATAATGCAAAATATATATGGAAAAAGGAGCTGAACATTTTCTCCTTTCTGGTATTTTTTTCCAAATGCCACCTAACTCACTCCCACAAAATCCCCAGTCTCTGGGCCTACTGAGAGGCTATTACAGATAAACAGAGAGACTCCCACTGGCTTTGGTAGATTGTGGATGAAATACAATATTTCTAAAAATCATGACTTATAAAACATTTACATTTTCAAAAGCACAATCAGTGCCCTTTCCCAATCACTGACTAATGCACTTCATCATGGAACATTTCCTAAACACAAGAAAAACCCCACTCTGACTTTTTCACCAACCTGAAGTGCTAGTGAATAGTTAAGCTAAATTATTTTCACAAAAAAGACATCATGGTTTAGTCTCAATGTTCAGCAAATAGAAGTCCACCTTAACTTGCACAACACTATGATAATTACAGATCGAAAGAAAGGGTGCAGAGCAATATTACAGTCTTGCAATTGCAATTGAAATATGTAATTGTATTTACAAATTAAAGGTATGAAGTTTTAAAATGCATATATGAGTTGGCAGCACCAGTCCCACGACATGCTAGTCTTAAGCTACAGTAGCATATTTGACAGTGCCATTGTAGAGATGCAGCTCTGGATGTGATATAGCCATTTTCTCCAGTACCCCACATATCTCAAGTGACATTTTTCCCCCATTACACAGGGTACAGAACAGGGATGAGGAAACAGTAAGTCTTCTTAAAAAATCGATAACACCATTCCTGCAACACCTCAGAGGTTCACTGAGAAAAAAGGATGCAAGAAGGAAGGAAGGTGCTGGAGGCTTTCCCTCTTATGAGAAAGGGCTGAAAAGGACGTCTTAATTAGCTGGCTACATTATTTTGATCATGGCTGATACAAACTTAACAGCCTTACTCAGTCTATTAAGTGTTTAAAAGAAACGTGCATTCATATTTTCTACTTTGAACAGCATCGCTGAACTGTGTCCCGTATCAGAGGACATGAGGTACTTACACTGACAGACAGAACAGGTCCCACTTTGTACATGGCGTAGCGGTCAGTGCCCGCGCAGATGTTGGGGTAGTCACAACCGGTGCTTCCAAGCCCCAGCTCCTCCGCTATGTAGGCAATAAAAGCTTTCATCCGTGAAGGGCTTCCTCCAACACACACAAACTGCGGTGGACAGTATTCAACAAAGCAAAACCAGTTGCGTAATTCAGTAAGTCAAAGAACATCCAAAGAACAACATGAGTATATGCAAACACTTTCAGTAAACACTAAGTTACCCCCAGATATAGTTCTTCTCGTAATCATTCTAAAACATCATGAAGAAAAATCATGGAAAAAACCCTCACCTGTCTACATAGCACTCAAGTGCCTTCATCCTGTTTAAACTAGTAAAAGACAAATATTGGCATGAAGACCCAATAAACAGGAGTTCTAACTGAATAGAGCCTACAGCATTTGCCTTTTTACTGAATGGAAAGAGACAGTCAAAAACTATTATCTCCAACTTTTTTAGATACAGAAAGTGACAAGAACCCACAAAAACTTTTCCACTTTGCATTCACTCCTCAATCAGTGGTACGCTGACACATTTAGTCCTATTTTGAAGACAGCTACTCTTTCATTTTCTGCAGAAAAGATAAGGCTTGCTGCACAGAGCAAAGCATCTTACCTTTACATCTCCAAACAGTGCCGGAAAATCATGGGTACCAGTCCCAAGAGCAAAATGGTACAGGATGTCTTCTTTCATTTTCTCCAGGTGAGGGTTGCACAGATGAATAAAATTCTCTCTGCCAAGACAGCAGCATTGTGAAACATATAGAGTGTATACAAACCCACATGTTGAACAGATGCCAATTCTTCAAAGTCAACCAGTCAGAGTTGGGAAATACCACACCCATATGTATGCCCGCACTACGTAATTTTGGTTCCTCATGCATTGCGTTAAGGAAATCCAAAATTTGGTAACTGCCATACATCCTGTAATAAATCACATATGACATTTAATATTCCATTCATTGCACAGAATGAAATTGCTGAAGAAAAGTCCAGCTGCTAGGATGCATTTGCAACTGTGCAACATTCACCTTAAACAATATTAAAGCTGTGAACCACAGTGGGTCTTTATGGTGAACAAAACAACAGGAGCAGGACCAGGGAATATTCAATAGACTACAAAGACTCAAAGATTCAATAGACTACTACAAAGACAATCTATAGCAAAGCTGAAAAGTAAACAACCTGTTTTGACTGAAACTCCCCACCACCACCACCAGCTACCTGAGAAGGAGGGGATAATTTGGGCTTTATAGACAGGCATGAAGTGGTTTTCTGTCAGTTTGTCTCCCTGTGTCATAAACACAGGAGGAAAAATATCCTACAGCATGAGACTGATAAGGGTACAGAGAATCTGAAATAGGAGAGGAAAGAGGAAAATGGAAATCTGAAGCAAAGAAAAAACGATAGGAGGGGAAAAAAAAATCAACAAAAAGGGAAAAGAGAGGAAGAGGTAAAAAGAATTAATTTCTTCTTAAGTTGCTTCTTGTAAGGAAGTGATACAGCTTAAAAGAAAAATAAAAATTGATCTGTCTGAAGAGCCAGGAAATGACAGGCCAAAGAGGGAAACCTGAACTACTTGGCACATGGGATCACCTTCGTGGAAAATTCAACAGTGGACTACCTAAACAAGCTGCATGATTCATAAACTGCCTTCTGTGCTTGATGTTTTAAGTTCAATTGAAACAGGTAGGAAAGACTAGTCAATAATCACAAGCTTAAGCAGAACCCTGGCCAGTACTTCAAAGTAATTTCTGAGAGATGGAATCAAGTAGTAAATAGCTTTCAGACACAAGAAGATGGGTTAGCTTAATTAATGGCTTAATGGAGGCTCACTTCAGGCACAACACGGCTCAGCAAATTCAAACTGCTTTGTCAGAGGAGACAAACAAAACGTTCACCTGAATTTTATGCAAAAAAGCATTAAGACTTTGCAGGAACAACTCTGAACAGAGGCATTTAGTGCTATTTTTGATGGTTTAGGTTATCTTGTCTGCCTTCTAATGCCTCCCTAGAAAAACCTTCCTGTAGGTCCTATGTAGGTCCTATCTGCCAGTCCTGCGCAGGATGTATGGGTTACCTTAGAAAGCCTACAGTGGCCAAGATGAGGTCACTGAACTATTCCTCAGAAAGCAAATAGTTACAACCCAAACATTCTGAGTACAGCAATTGCTTCTGTTCTTGGCATTCTCCTTCCAATATCACTAACTATCCAGTAACAACTGCACAACCAAGGAAAGAGGTGTCATCCCAACCCACTCTATCTGTTCTTGCCCACCACAGACAACCACCTTCAGCAACTGAAGGAGCTGCCCACTCAGGCAGCTGGTCCATTCACCCCTTCAGTAGGAATTTGTTTCCATCTCTGATAGGCCCCATTTGCCTCTCTTCATACAAATCCTGCCTGAGGTGGAACCAAAGACTGGCTGCCTTTGTTCTTCCTTCCAAGAGACCTGTTTGACTCTGGAAGAACTAAAGAGCAGGTTTATGGCTCATCAGGAAGGCAAAGACAGCCTTGGAGTCTGCCAGCTCATGTGAGCAGAATTCCCAGGCTGCCTTCCCTGAATTATTCCTGTTCATTTTTGTGGGACTCCCTACCCTTATTTACTGGGTCACTCACTAATGCAGATCCAATATCCAGCTGTGTTGATGTTCATTGGAATGGCTTTTACATACAAATAGGATATGATTTGAAATCACTTTACAATTTGTTCTCAGGCAAGCAAAAAAAATATTTCCTTCTTTATGAGAACACCAGCAATAAAAGCTTCTCTTCAGGAAATAAACTGGGAAAAGGCGAGGCCTCTATTGAAACTACAGGGAAACTCATGTGGTGTGTGCCAACACCACTATCCTCATGCCTGGCAAAACACAGCCTCCTTCCTCAGCCATGGCTATATTCCACCTTTTTCATCTCACACTCCACCAACAACACTCTCCGAGCCCCCCCCTCACTGCAGCGCTGGGCCATTACCAATTTGCACAGCTTATCTGCACATCCAATTGTAGACTTGGACCCTAAGGTAAAATGGGCAATAAAAACAAGCATATTTTTATGTGTACATAGGACCAATGCCATGGATTTACAGTAGAGGCAAAGTTTGCTTGATAAAAATCTTTGGCATGAAAATCTCAGGAGAAGAAAATTTATTTCCCTCCAGCTATTGTAAAGCATCTACAACTTCTGAGGTTTTAAGCAAAATACAAGTATCTGAAGACTAAACACGCATGTACGGTATTAGTAAAATAAGCTTACAGTAAGGATTAGAGAAACACATTGAAATATTTGTTTCAACTCTTGAAGCAGGTAGGTCTGGCCATATGCAGCAACCAAAGTCAATATTTCAGTAGCTCACCGGATTAAAATAAATTAATAAATAAAAACATCACTCAGGCTTGGAAAAAATCACTGTTCAGATAAAGGAAAATGGCTTGCTCTGTGTAGGTGTGGTAAAGCAATAAAGCGTCCATTTGTCAAAACAGCTCCTATTGGATACTTGATGTTATAATCAATATTTGCATCGTACCTTAACTTAATGAGTGTGTAATGAGTTTGGGGAGGAAGGTTAAGTGTAAACTTGGACAAAGTAATTAATTTCTGAGTCTTACTTTGAAGCCTGTTCATCATCAGTTTTCTTCTCATTTGAGGCACCAGGAGCCATGTGTGTTTATACCTAGAATTGTATTAAAAAAAATAGATATAAGCACATCAGAATAGTCCCATCTGTAAACCTAGAAGCATTAATAGTGAAAGAAACCTTCTGTATCTATAACTCTCATGAATATTAAATCCCCCAAATAATCCAGCCACACTACAGCTTTTATAACTGTAGCAAAAAGAGTATCTACAATTTTTATGGCTGAGCATCACCATAATTCATCACCACTTTCAAAACCCTCAAGCCTAAACTAATCCCTTGCTAACATAACCCCCACCTCACAACTGCCTCTGTTCTGTGCTATAAGCAGCAGCAGGCTCATGGGACAGAGAGAGGCAAGTCTCATTGCTAACTAACCCTCTTTTTTCCGTACCTCCCACAGCAACAGGAACTTCTGAACCAGCTTCAGCCCCCTTCCACGTCTGGCTCCAGAAAGTCTACAGAGTTCAGCTCTAACTGTCAGACGCCCGAAACCCAAGTCCAGGAAGCATCTTACTCATAATATCCTCTTCATTAAACTCTTCCTACTGACCTTAAGAACCCTTTTGTCTGCCACAGCATAAAGGCAAGGAACACCAAAGTAAAACATGACTCCAAAAAGGCACAGCGCTTCAGCTTATCATCCATCCTGAAAATCTCTTTTGCTGATCCATTGCCCTAACCTATACCCAAAACCTTCTCCTTTCTGCATTCTTCTTTATATTTAAACAGGCAAATGCATCACTAAGGCTTTGGTGCTGATACAAAGACAGAATTATAATTATAGAACGACTCATTTGTTATTATTTTCAGAAGTGACTAAGGCTACGTGCCGAAGTTGATACTTTCTGGGAATGCCCTTCTGGGAAGTACTGAATCACAAAGTTTTGCTCTATCCTTCCCTAAGAAGGGTGTGACAGCACAGAGATTATAATAGAGGTAGGACCTGTAATCCTTAAAAATGCCAGGATCACAAGGAAACAGAAAGAAATTGGTCTTGCAACAGAATTACATCATATGTGAATTTTGAGAGAAGTAAAAAAACAAACAAAATAAACCACAGGCTTGCCTGTTAAAAGCCACTGAATAATGGAAATGTATTAAAAATTATATAGACAATTAGTTTTCTTCATTTAAAATATTAAGCTTTATTAAACAGACCTAAACTTCACATGTACTAGATATACTAACTGTGTACAACCACCTGTGCTCAAGGAGGTTGAGCATAAAAGTCGCATTCAGAATCAATTACCCATCCTTACGGTGGTATGATTAGAGTCAGCTACTACAGGAAATTACAGGAAAAATGCATCATTTCTTCCAAGAAAACTACAGTGCCATGAGCCCTACTAAAGAGGAGTTGGAAGTTATATAGAGGAGTTGGAAGTCGAGAAGAAGAAACAGCAAAGTGATTTTTATGTACTGGGATGACATAGGGTTGCAAACAAACCGAGGATATTAATTCAGCTGTTGTTCACAGTATTTAGCATCCATGTGATTTTTAACAGTGTTCTTTGTTCTGTGATCCCTCAAATAATGATATACTTCAAAAAACTGAGAACAAAGTTCTGATGGTCCAAAGGTCCAGCATACCCTCTCCAACAGCACTTGGCTGCAGGTGCCTTGGCAAGAATGGAAAGTAAGGAGCAAACATAAAGCAGCTTTCCCATGGCAGACCTTGCCAGTAATCAGGTAGTAGCTGACAAGCAGCGAGTTAATGTAAAGCCACAAAACTCTCACACTGTCTGAACAGATGGAAACTTTTACAGCCACGTCAAAAGTTTCTGTAGTCTGCCTCAGCCTAAGTTAAAACTGACATTCGACAATATGCTCCTGATTCAGCTCAAGAAAGGGCATGGTCTGCTTTAACATGTATGCACATCATAGGATGGTTTGGGTCAGAAGGCACCCTAAAGATCATCTAGTTCCAACCCCTCCTCCACGGGCAGGGACACCTTTCACTAAACCAGAGTGCTCAGAGCTCCATCCAGCCTGGACTTGAACACTTCCAGGGACGGGGCATCACACAACTTCTCTGGGCAACCTACTCCAGTGTCTCACCACCCTCATACTGAAAATTCCTAGTATCCTCAAGAGTGAAGAATTCTCATCTCATCTAAACCTCTAAATCCTCAGACTGGTGTTTTAAAACCATGCAGGATTCATTACAATTGCCATCTTTCACATCCTCCCCACACCCGTCATTTTTGAAGAAAGTCAACAGCCAACAGCTTCTGTACGGAAAAGCTCTGGTTCGGTGTTGATCCATCATCAGGAAAAGATGAAGTCTCTGCAAAACTGATTTTACCCCGCGGGTCCCCTCCGGAGGCCGCCCCGCCGCTTCTCGCTGCTGCCGGAGCGCTGCCCCGGCCCCGCAGACAAGGCAACCGGCCCCGTCCGCCCGGACACTGCCGAAAACAGCGCTCGCCGGGACCGACCCCTGCGCCCGCCACTCCGCCCTTTCCCACGCGCTCCCCGCCACCGCCCCCCCGAAGGTTGAGAGACACCCCGAGCACCCCCACCCCGCCGCTCCAACTGCGCGGCGCCCAGCGGGACGTGGCTCTCACCGGGGGCGACGGGAGCCGCTGCTGGGAAACGAGGAGAGCCGCTCGCTGCTGCCGGGAGAGGTGCGGGGCACTCGGCTGAGCCACCTCCCGCTGGCGGCGGCACCGCCCCACCCAGGGCCCGGTTAACCCCCTGCTCACCGTGCGGGAGGGCGGCCCGACTGTGCGGGAACCGTCGTGTTCCGGGGCGGGCACAGCGAGCGGGAGCAACGCAGCCGGTGTGCGGGAAGAGTGCAGCTCTGCCGCCAGGAGAGCTGCTGCCAGGGCACGGGGGTTCGGAAGGACCTTATCCCAGAGATACAGATATGCACGCAGGTGTGGGCACGCCAGGGATGGTGGAGTGGGGTCGGGCTGTGCGGGCGTCGGTGCCTGTGTCTCCCCGTGTGTCGGTACGTACCGGCTGTAACCGCGCTGGCCGCTTTCACGGCAGGGATGGCTTCGGCTGCTTGGAACTGACTATTGAGTTGGAAGGGACCTACAACTCATAGCTGAGTTTTGAGTTGTCACAAGAACTAATAGCTTTTGCAGCGGAATGTGCCCTAGAAACTGCAAATAGCTGAGCCAAATGATTTAAAAGGACTAACCAAGCAAAGTAAGGAAACAGCGAAGAAGGGAACTGAGGCAGCCAGCCAAACAGCACCAAGTTACTTTATAACCAAGGGTATTGTCTTAAAGAAGTTCATAAGGCAGTTGCTTAGAACTTTGGGGCCTCCAGACATAGATGACCACCAGAGACCCCCAATGAAGCCCCTCAGAGACATTATAAGGATACGTATATATGCTAATAAGTCTTAGAACTGTCATGAATATGTAACAGGAATACGGGGAACAAAGAATGAATAAGCAAGTAATGCTGACATATAAGCTGCAGTGGAGCTACCTTTGTGTGCACTTCGGTGAGCTGATTCCCAGGGCACCCAGCGTGCTGTGATCATGCAGTACATCATAATAAAGAATGCCTACCTGCTAAAATTCACAAACTGAATCTCAGAGGTTTCTCTATTTTAGCTAACACAGTGACCATTTAGTCCAGCTGCCTGACCACTTCAGGGTTGATCAAAGGTTAACATAGAAAAAAAAAAAAAAAAAAATCATAAATCACACTGTAAGTGTAAATTTAATTTATTCATACAGTAACTGAAGACACAAACCCCACAATTCTACAACACAATTTTAAAAATATTTTTTTATACCACAACCACTCTGTAGTTTGTCACAGTAGGGAATTCTTGGGATACAGAGCAACTAAAACCTGCTTGGTGCAGAATCTTCTGTGCCTGAGGATGGTAAAAACATTGGGCACAAGGCATTGCTGGGATGTATTTATTGCAAAATCACATACGGCGCGTTTAGAGTAAAATTTAATATTCTGTCTCACACCAAAGGACTTCGTATGGGAATACAAAAGAGAGAAATCCCCTGCACACAGATGCATTTCTAGGCATGAACAACATGCAAGAGGAATTGCTGAACAAAGTCAGAAAAACATAACCTGTTCAACTTGTTTATATTTCCAGTGGGTAAAACAGAAGCAAAGCCTTCTAATCCATCTTCCATTTTCCCGTTCCTTGAATATATGTCAAGACTTTCAAGCTATGGTAATGGACAAGCACCTTAGAAGAGTGTTTTAATTTTGTGGAAGAAACCTTTCCTTTAAACAGGAATATTACCTACCCTTTCATCTCAGGGTCCACTGAAAAATCTGCTTTAGCTTTAAGGACGTTTTCCATTTAGCTATATATCAAGAGAATAAACAATGTAAATGGCTTCTTTTGTAAATAATCAGGTTACTATAGTTATCTTGTGTGAAACATTCAATAAATTATGCATTTCGATGAGTCTAATAATTGATAGTAACCTTTGCTCTCAGTCACCTCTAGAAAACTTTAAATGTCCTTTTAGTCTCCTGGTTTTTGTAGTGTTTAGGTTTTCATTCTATTTAGATTTAGTGGGAAAGATACCTCCTAAGTACAAATACAATATGTTAATGTTGTTTTAGAAGGGTGAAAAATACACAGCTACGTGCTGGGGTTATAACAACAATATGTAATTGGCCTCAGATTTTTATATATTGCATGATGAAAATTTGCATCTTTGGAAAGTAAGGCTGTCTGTCCTTTAATTATCAAACATATTCTCCTTTCTGCCTACCATATACCATTTTTATAGTCAATTTGTCAAATAATTCAGTGCAGCTGTTTTATTCACTGCATTTTGATTCCTCAGTCACTGGATGTTTTGTATCATTAAAACTATTAATAGGAGGAAAAAATGTGCCAAGACTGAACTTTTGTACTTCTATTTCTAGCTTTTTTTTTCCCAGACTGTAGCATAATATGTAATTACATTCTGAAAAATTATCTGCAGAGAACAGCAAAAGCAGAATATTAAGCTATTTGTTTACAAAAATAAATTGGGCTTCATCCTACATCTTTTACAACTAAGTCTGCGTATTCAGCACGGATACAAGTATTTAAGAAATAGATATGCTGAAGACAATGGAATATGACATGCTTGAGAAGCACGAGTCAATTGAATTTTTGTTTGTATTGCAAAGTTAATGCATACATACCCTTGATCTCTGAAATATGTTTATATTTTACTCTAAAAAGACAGTAGCAGTAAGATTTATATATTAGGTATATATCAGGACTCATTAAAATGAAAACAGCCATTAGACTTCATTACACTGAAATGGTAGTATATAAAAGGAAAATTACTCTGCAGTTGCTAAACTGCCAAGTTATTGTTAAATCTTTATCTGGAATTCTCTTTTAAAACCATTCACATACTCATTATACTTGGGTGCAATTAATAAAATGTAACTGCACTTTTATCTTTGGGCTTGCAAAGCAATCAGTATTCCAAAAAAAATTCTCTCTTTTACTACTTAGAGGCATTCAGGGCAGAGGTGGAGCACAACACAAAGAAACAAATGTTTCAGCATTTAAAACAACAAGACTAGATTTTGTAATAAACACCCAGCTTTTGACTTTGGTGTTTCTCTGAAAAACAAACATGGAAAACCAGAACTTTCCACTGCTTCTACATGGAACTGCTGATGACTTTGAAAACTGCCAGCTGCATGACTGCATTGACTCAGAAGTAAATCGAACAACGTGATTACTGCGATAAGGTGAACTCACTTCCATCCTTGTGTTCAGCTGGAGCTTAATTTGTTACACCACTTTGATTTCATGTCCCTTGGAGAACAGGAAGGTTATGATTCTGCTGCAGCTCTCCATTATTCTAAACTCACAAACATGTATTCCAGGATTGTCCCCCTGTTCTTATGAAGAAAAATCTCAGGCTGTTAATATTCTAACCCGTGGTATTCACACTGTGATCCATCCAGACTCAGTCGACCAACAATTCAGGTCAAAATCTCCTTAGGTTGACTAAGGAAAGCTGAATATACATTAATGGTACATTAGCAAACTTCTAAGAATCATAGAATCACAAAGGCAAGACCTTAGGAGGGGACACAACCAGGTCAGCTGACCCAAAATGGCCATATGATGTCAGCTTGGATATGAAAGCTAAGACAAGGAGGAGGAAGTAGAAGCATTCTTTATTTACAACACTTGCCTTCTGGAGCAGCCGCTACATGTGCTGGAGCTCTGCTTCCTGGGAAGTGGCCAGACATCACTTGCTGATGTGAACTGGAGAATAAAATTAATTTTTTCCCCCTTTTGCTTGCATGCACAAACTTTCACTTTTGCTGTAGTAAAATGCCTTATCTCAACCTAGAGATCTTATTTTGTCCATCTGAGAAAGGGGAGTGATAGAGAGGCTGGGTGGGAACATGGCATCCAGCCAGGATCAACCCACCACAATTGGTCAGGTTTGAATGCTATGAGCTCTGGGTCTGGCAACCCCTGATACTCTAGCCTAGAAAAGGAGACTTCCCCAAAAGCTCTATTGTCACAGCAGAATCAATGGTTTCAATATATCTGGATGTAATCCACAACACAAATTGTAAGTGAAAATAGACACAAGGGAAGTAATTCCAAACACCCCCCCCCAGTTACAGCTTGATGTAAGCTTTACTATCTTCAGAAAAATTTTCTGACTAGCCAATAACCATACATTTAGGCATTTGCATATGTTTTAGCCTTTTATTTTTGTAAATACAACTTGGACAGTTGAATTCCAAATGAACAGTAAAGATGGACTTGAGTGCTGGATCTAGCAACATCAACAGCAAAACTTCCACCTATGTTTGCTGAAAATTTCGAGGGTTCAGATTAGCAATAGTTTTACCTATTTCCAATCAACTTTCACATCAAAGTTCTAAAGAAAAGCAATATTAAGCCAAATCCTCTAAACATTCTGTTCGAAGAAATGTATATTTCGTAATACATTTTGGAATCTTCAGCCCTTGGATTCAAGGGTGTCAAATGTACTGAATGTACTCTGAAGAGGAAATTCGGAAAATTATCGGTTTATTAAAAATTCCACTTTTCGCAGTACTAGCAAAAAATATGAAAATAAAATTGCATCCTTTCTAATGGACTTTATAATAAATATTTAATTATTAATAAGATTTCAGGGATATATCCTAATCCAAGTAGATAAAAAAGCAAGTGTTAAAATACCAGTGTGTCTTAACTTTTTCAGAATATTCAAATACAACTTCTATACATTGTTATTTCAAAGTACAAACTTTTACTAGTGTGAATAAACATGGAGATCTAGCATATAATATTTTTGTTGCAGTCAAGACTTCAGGATAAATAATTTTTTTATTTAACAGCTGAAAGTGCAGATACCATATTTGCTGAATCCACATCACTGTTAACCAATGATTCAGCTTCTATATAACAAGACTATAACAAAAAATGCCATCAGGTCTTAACTTAATTATGTGTTTGAACACTATGATCATCTAGTTCTGCAGCAGGCATAGCAACAGAATTGTCATAGAAAGCTGAGTACCTGGACTAAAAAAATGCATTTTGGGGATTAAGAAGCAGTCTTTCCAATGAAGCTTTGACTTTTTTACTGCAAGTATCCATACCAGTTCAGTTCTTTCTATTTACATTTCATCCCATACCACACAGTTGCCCTTCACCTTTCTTTGTGGCATAAATCATAAGTATACTAAAGAAACTTGATGATTTTTAAACATCGATAGCACACCTGTGTCTGTTCAAGTCAGCAGCAATATGGTAATCTTATTTGACATCAGCAAAGCAGCCCGAGTTGTGGAGGACAAAAATGCAGTTTTGCTTTGTTTATTATATTAACAAAAAGTCTAGGAATAAGCACTAACAGCTGTTGCTTGTACTTTAAAATTTGCTGTAATCAAGCACAATGAAGTTCATCCAT